GAAGACCTCTTTGCATTTGAGTTTTTGGTAAGGATTTTTTGGGGGGGGGGGAAGCAGTCTAGATGGGGTTCTTTTGGGGGTGGGGAAAACCCTTTTACAAAAGAACCCTGTAAACCTCATTTTTTCATGAACAAGCGTTCTTTTGAAAGGGTTTTATTTTTCGGAAGCACCCTGTCTAGACCTTTTTTTTTAAATCTCTTCCAAAAAAGTGATTGGAAGGGATTATGCAAATGAAGCTTGAGATTTGTAAATAGCTCTTCATTTGCATTTTCGATTTCCCTCATTTGCATTCCTCTTTCGAAAGATGAATGTAGTCTTGACACATCCTATATCATGTCTCTTGACTTTCCATGTTCAGGTCTCTCCTGGTTTTCTTCAACGTCTCTCATTGTTGCAACAGCACGTCCTTTGAAGGATCCTTCTCATTCCTTCCCTCCTCCTTTCTGCAGGGATTTAACAGAGCTCTGTCCTTGGTCCCTCCTCTTCTCCCTCTATACCATCATTTCACGATCAGCATGGCTCACTGTGGGCAATACTATAATCCTGTCTGTCACTCAGGCTTGTAACCTGGATGTCATCTTTGATTTGGATCTCTCTCTATGCCCTTGTGGCCAGGGATGTCTAAATCTTGCAGATCATTTCTATAACACCTTTAAGATGAGCCTTTCCTATGTATCTACATAGCTAAAATTCATATAATCTCATGCCTTGATTATGTCAACATTCTCCTTTCTAACTTGACAAATACAGTCTATCCCGTTCATCTCTAATGCTGCTGCAAAGCTCATTTTCCTAATTAGTCGCTTTGACCATATCTCCCCTCTTGTATCCATCCATTGGCTCCCCCTTTTCTTTTGCATCAAACAAACTGTCTTTGCTTCTGAGACCCTTCATAGCTTAACATCTCCATAGTGATTGAGCGATGTTGATTCCTGCCTCACATCATCTCATGCCAACCTTAGACTTGTGAAATTTTCAAACAAGCAATTATTGTCCTTTGGAGCCCTGCTTAAAAATATATCCTTTTTTGGTGAAGCTTACAAACAAAATATTGAGAATATGTAGATGCTAATCTGCAGAGACGTATCATACTGACTCACCAATACTGTCACATTCCTTGAACAATCTCCTCTGTCTGTGTTTATCTCTAGTTTCTTGCTCAAATTGTGAACCCTTTTAGGTAAGGAGTGTCTTTGTTTGGTTTATCCTGGTTTGTGACTAGGGAGTTTACACGCTACAGGTTGGACATCTCTTATCCGGTACCTTCAGGACCAGACCGGTCCTGAATCAGGGACTTTGCCGGACTAGAGAAGGTTCCCTGCCACAGCCTCCAGCCACTGACTTTGCCAGCTGGGGAAGGGGGTAGGGAATACCTCCAACCCCTGTTGGGCTGCTGGTGCCACTGCTGCTGCCCCGGCTGACCTGCCTGGGGGCTCCAAAAGCCCACGTTGTCGCGGGCAAGCTCTGGCCTTGGTTGGGCTGCCAAGTGCTCAGGCTCCAGTCCCAGCTCCAAAGCAGCCTGTGGGCTCAACCCACACTTCTGTGGGCTGTCTGGGGCTCCGGCCCCATGCTGCTATGTGGGCTCAACCCACACTTCTGTGGGCCGGCCCCATGCTGCTGTAGGTTGCTCCCAGTCCCAGCCCCAGCTCCCCTACTGTGGGCTGTTGAGAATGCAGGCCCCTTCCCCACAGCAGCCTACAGGCTCTGGCCCCACATCCTCAGACTGCAATGGCTCTGGCCCCAGCCCTGTGCTGCCATGGGCTGTCACTGGTCTGATCCTGCGCTGCCGGGGCTGCCCTAACCCAGTCCAAGCCCCACTGCTGTGGGCTGCCACCAGCCCTAGCCCCTACCCCGTCCCACTGCTTCAGCTCGCCCATCCTGGATCTCCCTTCTGCCACTAGGCTACTAGGGTTCACTAATCAAGGGACATCCATGGTCCATTGCCAGACCAGAGAATTCTGGTTTTGGGAGGTAGGATACAGTAAATCCAAGTAAGGTGAGCACTGCATTCCCATATTTATGGAAAGGGTGAACTAGTGGATTTTTTTCCACTGCTTGTAAATTTTCTTGATAATTTTACAAGGCAGATGTAAAGAAAATTATCTCCATGTGCCCCATAAACTATTTCAATGTCTTAAAGTAGTTATTTTTTCCCCTGTGTGCACTCTTTCTAGGTTGTGTCATACCTCTAAAAAAGAGGCTGCTTGGCCAAATTCTTAACTCGAATGCCCAAGTGTAACAAAACAATCTCTCCACCCCCATTTTAGTGTTTTACACCAAAACTGATATACTGCATACTAGGACAAAAGCCGCTTTCTGAGTGGTTATGCTACTATAAATTGTACACTGACGTCTTTACACTTCCTTCCTTAATCTTGCCTCCTTTCCACTGTTGGACAACTCTGCACAGCAGCAGCACGTTTCAATATGTAGAGGTTTCCCAAAGGGTGAATAGTTTGCATAATCTGAGTAAGCAGCAATGGTTTTAAGTGTCTGTCTAATTTAAATTACATGAATGTCACAGATACATGGTGCGGAGCTGGAAGAAAAGAATGCATAATCTTTAGCTATGATTAACTAAAGATTTATGGCCTACAGGGTCAATTGAGTCAGAGGAGCTGTAATTCCAGGTTTCCAGAGCACAGTGAAGGGGATGCTAGCCAACTTTGTAGACCAGTTAGGTTAATTGGCCCTTTTTTAAACCCAGCTGTGTACAAAGCTATCCACTGCCCACTTCTGTATGTTTTGGGCTTTGAAGAACGCAGAGGGTCGCTTCAACTTCAATTTTTCCAAACCACCATTTAAACCAAATGTCTTTGAACATCTTCAGCCACCAATCCCCTGAAACAAAGGTATTTGGATAAATTGAGCTGGGCAGCATTAGATTTGTTTTTAAGAAGTGCAATGCACATTATGCAGTATATTATACACTAATAGCTCTTCTAAGTCTGTGCCAAAAATTATAGTTCTTAAAGTGAAGGAGAACAGGATATTCAAATTGTGACTTTAAGAACAGTGTTGCCTCTTTTAAACTGATACAGTTTTGAGTTTATATAACACCAGAATTTGTTTTAAACCCCTGCCCCACAAAACTTTTGAAAAACAAACTTCAAATGTGAGTTTAGGTTTCAAGTAGTGATGAGCTAAGAATTTGGGCAAAATGAGGGTCAAACAGAATTTGCCTCCATGACATGTTAGCTTGCACCTTTTAGTATATTCTTTTCAAACTGGTTGTAAATTCTTGACAAGCAGAGGGCAGAGGTTTAATAATAGAAATGCTAAAACTTTTGTGGCCTTGAGTTTCTTTAGACCAACTGAATTACCAATTACCATCCAGAAGAGATGCTAAGGTTACAAATGAAAATGTGACTGCAGCATAGACAGGCATATGCACACTGACTGTAATCTAGTTGGCATGAGAAATAGCAGTAGTGAGAAATAGCAGTGGCAGTGTGAGTTAGCTACCTCTGCACAAGCCTGACATGGACAATGGGTATATACAGGGTATCCCCGCTATAAGTCATCCCAGTATATGTTGGTTCTGCACTAGTGCTTGTGGGAACTGTTCCATT